GTCAAAATCCATGCGAAATGGGGGGAGGCCATCTGAACAAACGTATACAGTACATGTAATACCAATATTTTAAAGAGTCCATCTGGTGACATCGGAAAAAAAAAATATTGCATGGCGACACATTATTTTGCAGACAGTTGATTCTTAACATGGACAAGTCTGAATTAATTCAATTACATTTTATTATAGGAATAAATGACATACTTCAGTCATTTATGTTAGACATGGGGTATTAGCATAATATATTTATGTTACATTCAACCAACAAACACCATGACAATTTTTTAGGGTGTAGAAAGTCCAAAACGTTTTTACTCTTTGTTTGAATTGTTTAGTCCTTACTATTCAAATTGTTAATATCCCTACCCTCACTAGGTGGCAGTTTCTTCTGCTGAGACATAAAATTTCAACACAAAATAAAATAACCAAAGGAAACAAAAAAATCTGGCATTATTGGGTTGTTGTCAACTCATTTCTGCCGCTCTGAACAAAACCAATAAACGAACCATGTTCTGAATCTGGAAACCCAATACAGAACATGGTTTTTCAGTTAATAATTATCCAAATTACAAACCAAGGCAACCCTGAAAGATAATATTTTTTACCCATGCTTTGTCCTTCTCAGTTTGATTACTACAACTCCATGCTGATCAACACAGTGGATGAAAATGGGAACAATGTGGACCTCGGTGGAGAGTTTTCCCTTGAAGAGAACGAACATTTCAACAACTTGCCTGTGAACACCCAGCTGAGCAACATCCAGGTTCCCACAAATGTCTACAACAAAGGTTAAAGGACTTTACAGAAGCAAACCTCCACTGGAAGCTTTTTTCACAAAGAAATCTAAATTGGCATTCTCTTTTATTTGAGAAGATCCGAACATCCTCAATGCAATCTACAACTCTGAGGCTTTAAACGACGTCTTCATCAGCAACTTCCAGAGAGATCCCACACTGACCTGGCAGTACTTTGGGAGTTCCTTTGGCTTTTTCAGGATCTACCCTGGTAAGTTTATCAAACAAAACTTATACTGTTCATACTGAGGCAAACAATTTCCTCTGTGGTCTGTCACATTGAATATTCTGTTGACGGCTTAATTTATTGTGACAGTTTTTATTCAGCAAATGTCTGTTTGGGAATTTATTTTAAAAATACGGAACATAGTTCTAGATTCATTATCACAGGGTAAAATGAGTGAAAAAAAAAGAAATGTCTATTTAAATTAAATTTTAAAAAGACACAAAACAACTTTTCTAAGACTGTTGTTGGTTCTGGCACCACTAATGTTGGCCTAGAAATTCACAGCTTCTCTAAACTCTAACAGATCTCATCACAGTCATGCATATGTTGCACATTCTTTAGTTAAGTACTTTGTTTTTTGTAATTTTACCCTGTGTGTGAATAGCCCCTATTTCCTCACTGAGAAACAATAAGGCCATTTCTATTCTACAGTAATCACATCTTTTAAAAAATCTTGTCCTGTATTGCAACGAGTGATGCGCATTTTTTCAAGAAATGCTAATTTTGATTTTAAATATTAATTATGGTGAGGAGCAGACACGCATCTATGAGCTGAAGTGACTGTGCTGTTCTGTTTATATTAACAATGAAGTAAAAAAATAAAAACAACAACAAAGCAGACTTACACTCACCGGCCACTTTATTAGGTACACCTGTCCAACTGCTCGTTAACACTTAATTTCTAATCAGCCAATCACATGGCGGCAACTCACCTGCAGTTCAAACCGAGCATCAGTATGGGGAAGAAAGGTGATTTGAGTGCCTTTGAACGTGGCATGGT